TACAGTTACTGGAGTGAATGTACATGTAGTCACTCCGTTCGTATGTATCGTGTGCATTTTTTACACTTGTGTGGTAAGACATATATAATTCGTAGATACGAAAATTATTCTCTTAAGAATGTACAAAATAATTCGCGTTTTACTAGGGTGGTTTACGAGCAGTAGTATGGACCGATTTTATTCAGACCTTCATAATGTTTGGCTCTATGATATTAATCGTTGTTAAGGGAACATCCGACGTAGGTGGATTTTCGGTAGTAATAAGAAGAAATCTAGAATCTGGAAGACTCGAATTACCCACGTGAGCATTATAATATCACCGTTAAAAAGAAAAGTAATGGTCGCGAGTAGAACAATAATAAAGTTATACGAATTTTCGGAATAGGGCAGATTGGAGTCCTCTTACGAGGCATACGATTTGGTCTCTCGTCGTTGGTGGTTTCTTTCATTGGTTGCAAGTATCCGTTATCAATCAGAACATGATACAAAGATATCTTGCATTGCCCACGTTAAAATCAGCTAGAAGGTATATCCGTTGTTTTAAATCTTTCTTTTTTTATTTGTAAAGTATAAGTTCCGAAATAAACTATTAAACGATCTAAGGCACAAAATGGGATATGTTTTAGAGCGCTTTGGATCTTTATAGTTGGAGTCTTGATTTTAATAGGAATATGCGGATACGCGGGAATGTTAATATATGCCTGGTACCATGTATGTGATCCACTTACAACAAAGGTAATGATCCGACTTCCCTGATACCCTAATTCCACAATATATCATGAACTGGAAGTAATAGAAAGATTTCGTCTGCAACATATCACTCATGCATCTGACATTTCATACTTTACATCCTGTGAATATTTTACAATCTTTTACATTATTTTTATTTTCTGTATTCTATATTTCTAAGAATAATCCGATATTAAAAGAAAAATATATTTCTCATGTAGTTAGCAGGTGCTAAGGATCAGTTATTACCATTGCTTGTTATGAACATATTAAATGAATTTCCGGGTCTTCCGGGTCTCTTTGTCGCTGGAGTATTTAGTGCAGCATTGAGGTAACCTTTCTATCATTCATATTCACGATCAATTGTAAAAAAAAAAAAATCAATATTTAATCATTCCCTTATTTTAGTTCTTTATCTACCGGTTTGAATTCGATGGCTGCAGTGGTGTTAGAAGATTTTGTTAAACCCTTTAGGAAAACGCCCGTCTCGCCAAGAGCTGCGGATATTTTATTAAAACTGACGGTAGTTGTTCTTGGGGCAACCTGTGTGGCGTTGGTATTTGTCGTCGAAAAAACAGGATCTCACGTATTGCAGGTATAACGTGCAAGAATTTAATCTAAAGAATTAGTCAAATAAATAAAGTCTGTTTCAGTTATCTATGAACTTGTCCTCCATTACCAGTGGACCGTCTCTTGGAATTTTTAGCATGGGTATTTTATTGCCCTGGGTAAATGCCAAGGTATGCTAAAATTTAATATGAAAATGATAAAAGAACAACGGAAATGGGGATATTATAATTCTGTACGAAATATAGGGTGCTCTGATAGGTGGCCTTTCTGGTTTGGGTTTTATGGGTTGGATTAGCCTCTCGGCAGAAGCAGCGATTGCTAGTGGAAGAATAAAGTAAGAATAACGAATCGAATGATTTTAAAATAAATATTTGCTACTTCTCGACTATTTATAATATTGGCCAACGTAAAATGTTTCGGTAGATTCGACGAGAAACCAGTCAGCACGGAAGGATGTTATTATTCGTTCCCTCAAGTAGAAAACTTAATGTTACTCGAGCCTCCAGACACGATTTTGGATGGTGACGAATTTCTTCCGTAATAATCAAATTTTTAAAAGAAAACATTAATTATATACTTTTCTCTCTATAATTTTACAAATATTTTTCAGGGAACCTCTAGCGTTGTATCGTCTCAGTTATCTCTGGTACACCGTTACCGGTGCCTTAGTGACGATGACCATCGGACTAGTTGTGAGCCTGATCTCGTCCGAAAAAGTTGAAAAATTGGATCCGATGTTACTGGCCCCGTTTATAAGGAAATTATTGAAAATATCGGGCAAAGAACCTCATCAGGAGGCAAGCAATGATCAGCGATCAGTTTCTTTTAACAAATGTGTCTTTTTCAAAAAATTCGTACAGAATCTTTTTTCGACCATTGATATCATACGTATTTTGTTTCTTGTAGGTCGAGAATTTAGAAGTACACAGTTTGGAAATACGTAGAGCCGGCGAGGAGAACGCAGCTGAAAGCGTATCACATTAGTATGACCTTGACTTGATGATTATGATCCATGCTGATCGAATCAGGGGTCGGCAAACTGTACGAGATGAAGTGTTTGGTTGACAGGCTGAAATATCAAATTAAGAGGATTGAGTCTAAAATAAGTTAGGTCAATGGAGAAAATAAAGTACAAAATGACTCGAGTTAGAGTCTGGATGAGTTGAAATACCGAGGCAAGAGAGAGACGGACTTATTCATATAATTCTTAGTCACACGAAAGTGTTAAAAGTCGTCTGACAGCGGAGTATGACACACGAATAAAACTTCCATACATTTTTTACACTTACTCACAGATATAGTGTATTTCGTACGTATATTTCAACATTAACGGAAATGTACAAAGATAATATATACGTTATTATTCTAATGTTATACTAGCAATACTTTCAATGAAGTTCTTACCTTCGTTATAAAATATATAACGTTCAGGATATATAAAACAATCAAACTTTTTGAAATACGCCTTTTCCTTTCACTTTCACATTGTACATAAAAAATGGAATGAAAATAGAATATTTAAATAATAAAAAAGAATCATATCTGGAAATATTTAAAAATCTTTAAAAATTCTGTTTATATAGTCATTCCGAAAGAATAAATTATTAAATATCTATATTTTATTTGTTAAATAAAAATGATGTATTAAAACTATCGTTTTTCCTTTACAATTATCATTAATTCTCTCGAACACATACTCACACAGAATAAAAATCAGAAAACATTAGTTCATGTACAATGAATAAATCCAACAGGAGAAACACTCTTTCAGAATGTTTGATTTTATCCGAGAGGAATGCATCGGTGTTTCTTTTTCTTAGATCACTCCACATTATAATGCCTGGTATGTATATTGCAGTTATTATTATTATGTTATTACAATCCAGATGTAATATAACAAATTAAGATTAATTGTATTGAATTATACAAACATTTGACTCATGCAGTTTATAGTTATTTAAAATTGAGCATTAGATCATACAGAGATTTAGATACTAGCATATAAGCTGAAAAATGTATGTCTAGACTATTTAGACAAATCGATCATATCGTTTGCATTTATAAAATTGTAAATGCATATAAAAAATTGTAGAGGAAAAGTATTCGGATACACGATATTCTAATCTTTCGTACTTATGAATTATTATGACAAACTGCACGAGAGTCAGTCGTTTCTATACATCCCAAGACGTAATGTGATATAAACGTATTTCGTGTAATAATATTTATCAATAATATACCAAGTCAATTATTCATCATCGCATCGGCGTTATGACAAACATTTGTTACGTGAATCAACGTACAATCATAAGACATAAAATAAGTAATATACAAATTGTTTTAAATAATGCAATAAAACCAGCAGAAGATTATCTATTGCATTCTAAATCAAACAGATTCAACCGTGATTGAACGAGACGTTACATTCCTTACACGAGACGTTAGTTTTGTATTAGTTTTTGATAATTACAATTTCCTTAAACCTGTTATTATTATTATAATACTGCAAGAAAAAGATAAACGATACAACCAAGAAGTAAATTTTCAAGCTATCCTCTTATCACTTCTCATTATTCGTATATTATCTATGTTATTTCTTAGAGATTTTCACACTTGGCGTGCGGTAAAAACAGCTGTATATGAAAAGCGGGAAGAGCATACAAGCGAGATATAAATACAGTTCGTTAGACGAACATGTCTATTGTAACATGAACTATTATTATCGCACATTCGTGGCGCTTAAATACAAATGCTAAAAGGAAACGTACTCTAAGTGAAACAAATAAATGCATGTGTACATGTTCATGTATGTTATGCGAATGTACATACACGTATTTATTCATTCACACATATATCTCTTAAACAGTCAATTGTCAGAAGAAATTATAAATTTTTGTGCCAATGTATGTGGTCTTAAAAAACGAAGAACGAGACTCGTAGGTTGAATTTCTTAAAACCAAAAGCATCGACACTATCACTCTGGCTCGTTCATTTAGAATTTGCTATGACATTTTCCAGTCTGATGATGATAATCAGTTTTTACAGTTTGATCGAATTATATTTAAGAAAAAGATTAATATTTCGTAAAAATATTTAGTATCGGCGCCTTCGTTTCTTTGTTTCAGATATAGTCGATATTAAATATTCATATAAAAACGGACAATGTTGCTTGAATAATCGTAGCTTGAATTAACATCGTTCGGTTTCTTTACGAAGTCTTTGTAATATAATTGTTATATCACTGTATACAATGTGGACTAGATTTACGATCTACAGGATAAGGGACGCTTAACGCTTCATTTTCTTTTCGCCTTTCACATTTATAAAATCAGCATCATGATCTCTTAGCGAACTGGCCACACCTTTTAATTAAAAAGTTTGCGGATCATTGGTATACAAAATATTTTTTCTACCTTTTAATTACACAATACAATAGGCATATCAATCATTATATGCTGTATATAAATTGGTGGTATATAAAATATTCTTCGATCATACAAATGTTAGAATGAAGATTTTAGAATGATACTCTTCCCATATTGAATGAACATGTAAATATAATCTTTTCAGTTCTGTATTATGAAACATACATATACGAATAGTAAAATTATTTTTTACAATAATATTGAAAAAATACAAATACGTATATTTAATATTAAATGAGAATTTTCATCATCATGGTATAAATATAAAAATTACTATTAGGATTACAAATATAAACGAATACAAAATTTATTAGTATAATTTCACTGAACAAATTTGAAAAGATTAGTTATTACGAGATAAAAAAGCTTATTACATCGGCTGTAAGATAGTATATATTTAAAAATGTTAAATATATATATTCAATCGAAATCTTTAATTTATACTACTGACTATATAATGAACTATATTTTCGAATTACATATATTTTTATCTCTTTTATGTGAATGGAAATGCGTTCATGTTGAGGTAGCGTATCCAATATTGTGTGTTTAAAGACGAATGATCTCAATACTTGGTCCCATTTCGAAATCAGGATTTATAATAATTTCGAAGTAAATATAGTATATGTTAAATATCAATGAAATATAATCCGATGTCGTTAAGATTAAAGTGAAACAAAAATCAATATGTAATGTAAAATATTGGAAAAATAATCTTCCTTAAAAAGTACAACTATTTAAACCTACTTAAAATACCTAACATAATGATAAAGTATCGTTATGAAAAATTGATTAGAAATGAGAATGAAAATCGTTGCTCAACGAAAGGCTATATGTACATATTATATGTTGAGGAATCAACGTATTGATCTAATTTCATTTTTAGCTCTGCTATTGATAAAATTATATTTATATTGTATATAGGATGGAACGGCGATCGTAATACAACAGGGTAGGCGGTGATTCTACATGAAAAGATAAGAAGAAAATTTGGTATAACATCTTTTCATTCGAGGCTTCGTTTTTGAGAAAATTGAGCTTCAAAATTTGACATGTATAATTAAATTTGGCTAATTCCGGATTAAAGAAGAGTAAATAATCAACAGGGGTTCAAAACTACATTTGAAAATAAAATAACAATGACTAGATTGGAGTAAACAATCAGCAGGATGTTATTATACAAAAATGAAAAATAACATTTTTCCTTTAAGCCTTATTTTCAAAAAAATAAAATTTGAACACGTTGAAGACTGGTGTGATGTGTACGTATATATATAATATAAAACACATGTTCAAATTTTATATATATATTTTCGACTTATTTTTTCACCTGGATCGCCAGCTGCTCCGCTGTACTACGATTTCCATCTCACCCTATATGTATACAATTTTATTAATAACATACATCAATTCACTCTATCTTTTCTCTTCATCATCCATTTTTAATTGTATTAAATCTATATCAAGTGTTGTGCAGGCGACAGACTTTCCAACGGATTTTCTATTTTCGTAATAATGAAAATTTAATAACTAACTTATATATGAACAAAAAAGATGATCGAATAGAATTCAATTTGATTAGAGACAATCACGTGGACGTCGATGTCTGCCCGGTTACAGGAACCTTGTAGTTTAACTGAAACGTTTCCCATACTTGAGACATGAGTATCTAAATATGTCTAAAAATTATCATCGGCATAGTAGATGTGTAAAAATACCATCATCGGAGATAATAAAATATCAATAAATTTCGTTTGAACGAAAAAAGGGACTTAAGCCTTACCAAATCACTAACTTTTTAAGCAATATGATTTTGATTTCTCATATTATAATATTATGTATATGTATATTTAAACGTATGAATTGATATCATGCTCGAATACAAGGAAACTTATTTGAGGCAGTTAAAATAATAATGAACAATTTACAAAAATAAAACTACTATTCTTAAATCAATCAATAACATTAATATCTCAACTTTAAGTGCTTCAAGCTTTAAATACATATGTGTATTGGTAATAACTATTAATATATGTCTGTCATAAGAAAAAAGTTAAACAAGTATTTTTCTAAACGACTAAAAATATATAAAAAGTTAATCGTAAATCTGTAAATGTGAATAATGTAAAGAATGTCATCTGCCTCAAAATATAAATTTAATAAAATAAAATAAAACAGCCTAAATGACATTGGCATTGTACTCAGCGATCAATTGTAACGTAGATATTAGAGCCAATTTCGAAGTATGGCATTGCAAGCGAACAATTCGAACTTGAAAACAGAAGTTAGTTACAAATTGGTCGTACAAGGTTTTTACTATAATTGCTGGCAAGGTACGGACTGAGGTGGTAGAGCCGGTGGCAATGGTGCATTCTCTTCGTGAATCATCACGAGTTTACCGTATTTCACCATTCTCCTTCTATGTTTTTGCTGTAAACAAGATCTTGTTTTTTATTATCAGATTTAAGAAAAGATCTGGTGCTAGTTTATGTTTTCTTTTTTTTTTTTTTTTTACAAAATATTTTACAGCTACTATAAAATCGATAGTAGTACGATATCAAATCTTAATATTTGACGTAAGGACTTAAAATTATATTTTACCTGTGACATTGTGCCAGCCGTCCAACTTCCGCTGCTGCTTCCACTGTCACTACCACTAGAAGTAATCCCATCTTCGAGAACAAGCTTCGTTTCGAACCCCTCGACCTCTAAGTCCAAATAAAGCTGACCCAATTGATCGTTAACCAAAAGGGGTTGATTGAAATTTTTTAAGGCATCCATGTCTGCTTGAAGTACTTCGTTCAGAGTTTTGGGATGTATTTGATACTCGTATATTAATTCTGGAGTTAATTGAACACCTTCGAGCCACGGTGGCTCTTTTCTTCGCTTACCATAATGTTGCTTCATCATACTCTCCTATGAATAAATTTATTATTTATTAAAATTAACGTGACTGAAATTTTTTTGTGACTGAATTTTGTTAGATAATAATCAAGACTATTAGCTACCTCTGGTAAATATTCCGTTGGCTTTTGATCTGGATTGCAGCTGCTATCACTGCTCTTATATAGGAAACTACTGTAAAAACTCGACGAGCTCGATTCGTCTACGGAGTAGTCGTTTTGTTTGTGGATCTTTTGGTTCACTGGCGTTGGTGCATCCACTAAGCTCGAGCAACCTCCGTCATTGCTCACGCAAGAAGAGAATAATTCACCGGGTGATAGTACCTAATTATCATTAAATGTTTGACATATCCGTAAACCAATTAAAAAATCAAGTATAAAAATGTTGATTTACTTTTTTAGAAGATTCTGACATAGCCATACTGCTACCCGGTTCAGCTTTTACGCTTGTTGCTTGGCTCGCTGGACGTTTTCGATCGGAGCATTTGTTCATTGTAGACTGATTATTTTCACGCGTGACTGATGTTTGTTCGGGAATCAAGAATGGTCTGTACATCATGCCCGCTGACGGGGCACCTATTACTGGAGGATAAATGACACCGGCCATCGCCGTCGTCACATATGAAACTGGCACAAACACTAAAAATTAGTTTTGATATTTCAAATTTTAATTATTATTTAAGAATTCTCCCTTAAAAATTAATTTATTCAAATAAATACATACTATAAGGATTTGGTTGTGGGGGTTGCATTGAATGAGGCGGACTAAGTTTCTCTTGTAGAGATGATAAAACTGCAGGATCATTAGTTTGTGGTACGGGAATATAATACACTGGTATCATTGGCGGCAGTATTGGTACTCTGGGTATTGCTTGTGAATTCGTGCTGAAATTAGAGAATTCAATGAATTAGAGAAATCAATATTTCACGCGGTATCTTATAAAAATATTAACTACTGTTAAATAAATAAGAAAAAGCAATGGATGCTATGAGCAAAATGTTATGAATATGTTTTTACATTACGTACTTGAATAATACGAGATCGTTATCAATAAATTAGATATAATATTAATCGCTCGGAAAGTTCATTCCGATTTTGAAGAAATTTAATCGACATAAAAAATCATGTTGAAAATGAGAAAGGCTCTGCAAGGATGAAATATTCAAGTTGCATGAAGAATGGAGAAAGAGTGTGGAACAAAATAGCACTTATATAATTCAATAAATGTATATCGGATAGAAATGTAAATCGAAACGAACTTGCTGACCTTTTGAATTTTTTCAATTGCTCCAAAAATATGCAGGATTTCGGGCTATTTGCTTGTCAGAGCATCCTCAAAGACAATCGATTACCCTTCTTTTATATTACTTTTCTTTAATATATATTTCTTTTTTAATGAAGAAACACTCACTTTTGTGGCACATTGTGTGGTTGAGCAGGTGAGGCAGGGGGCACGGTAACCGATAAAGGTTGCCACAAATTGATGTTGGCACCTTTTTGAATTACGGTAGATTGATCGACGCTCATGCTTGTAACTGTCGTCGTGACATTCGTAGGGAATTGACCCGCGGTACTTGTTCTTGACACCTCGTCATGCTTTGAAACCTAATAAAATATAATCGAACGGGTTTAAACGTTTCTTCCTCGCCATAAGTCATGAACTCGAGAGATTATGTGTATTTATTGTTGAGTTACTAACTTTAAAACTGTCTCCTTCCCAGCTATGGCTTCCGCTTCTCTTAACTCCATGACCTTGACTAATAAAATGCATGTTCGGGTCCGTCGACATTTTCTCGGTGGTTTTTATTCGGGAATCCTTCAATTTGTCGCTGGCCTTAATGCTAGATCGAAGTTCCCGATGCTTCTGCATCATCAACTTTTCCATATCCTCATTGTGACGATTGAGCAACGACTCTGTCAACGTTGGAGGTTTGAAACTTTCCGTGCTAGTTGTATTCGACGTATTGCCTCTACTCGCTGAGCTTGTTTGATTGTTCGAACCACTGCTTAGATTTTCTGCGCTACCACTGCCGCTCCCACCGCTTCCGTTTATCGGTGACATGCATTTTCTCACTAATTATGCGATAATATATATATATTAGTATGTTAAATTTATTCTAATTCTGGAGGGAAGATCATTTATGAAAATCATAAATGTAGGCGGTTTAAAATCTTATTTGACGATAAATATTGTTAATAATATTCAATATCGTATATTTTATAATTTATAAATTTTTTAAAAATTGGTCAAAGTTGATAACGTCTTTACGTTCAAAAAATTCAATAGTGTGAAGTCTTACGGTGAAAACTCAACTCACCTGCTGAATTCGGGCTTGTCTTTTCACCTTCATCGTTGCTGGAATTAATATTCTCTTCATCACTGCCATACATGGTGGCAACCGGTGGCTTACTCTTAAAAAATCTTTCAATATTTTCGTTGTAGTTGAGCTGATTGTAACTTGGTGGTGTCTCAGTGGACGATTTACTGTCGTAGTACTCGCGATGGGGCGAAATCTCACCAAGCATCACGCTGTCGTGCTCCTGTAACAAGGGATTGCGTGATCCCTTCACAAGTATATTGTAGCGACTTAAAAAGAGTTGTCATTTGATTTCGGCACTGTCAATTGTTTTGCAAATTTGCGTTGCATTAAACCCGCGTCGCAGCAAGGAAGCTTTCATTTTTGTTAGATGTTTTGCCCAGTTATACGAGTTGCTATAATTTGTGCAAGTAATTTGTTTGTACTATGTAAGTCGCTCAGCAATCTTGCTACCGCAAAAATGCAATATTTACAGCGCACGAGCGAGCGACTAATCGACCAACTAATATTTCTCCAGCTCTGTAACACCGTTAGTTGCCTTACAATCGACCAATTTTCTTCCGTTCTACTTCTTCTCAAATCTTCTACTTCTTCTAGACCAGTCATCGTTCATACATTCATACATACTTTCATACATACTCGTTCAACATTCCGCTAATTTTTTAAATTCCCGTTAGACATACGAAAGAATTAAAATGAAGATTAAGGCGAGAAATTTCGAAAAATTCGCGCGTTGCTGATGAAATAAAATGAAATAATATATACAAAGTAAATCTGTATAAGATGAAATGATCTATACATGTACTTTTATATCTTTCGTTCTATCGATAACACCCTGTGAAATAATAGTTACTAACGATGGAAACGAAATTCAATCGAAGGAACATTGGAAGGAGCAGCGAGAATAAGAAATGCAGAATCTGTGCGGCAGCGGGAGGTGATGATGAGGCACGTGCTGTAAGGCTGTGAGAAGGTGAAAGCGGAAGAAGATGTGGAAATAGTATTAGGAGCAAAGGAAATAGAAATACATACTGAGAAGGACAGAGAAGTCGAGGGAGAGTGAAAGAAGGGGAAAGGAAAAATTGAGGAAAACAGTAAGAAACAGAAACTAACGAAAGGCACAAAGCAATATGGAATACCGAGAGGAAGCCAATAAAAGGAAGAACAGTATAAGGAAGAGAAAGAGAGGGAAAAGGAAGGAATTGAACAGAGCAACAGGTGTTATGTAATATGTAAATGTAGAAATATGCTATGCTTTACTCACAGTCATAGTTTACATATAGGCGAAGTATATAATACATATAGGGTATGAGTGAAAGCGTAGATGGAGATGGATGAACAAAGAGGGTGAGAGTACGAAAGGTAAGCGGAGAAGATAAGAGATATATGTAAGGCTGGAGGACTATCCTAAGCCACTAGACGAGTATATGTACAATGAATAAAATAAGTAAAATAATAGATAATAATTAATAACGAGAGTTAACCAGTACTGTCATCGGAACTTTCAAAATATTAACATCACTCTTGCACACCTTTAATGTATACTCTCTTCCATTCTCGCTTTCTCATATTGCCTCGTTAGTTTCAAAACCTTGTAAGTGAAGAGATACACTGGAACTTTATTCACGAGTGTGGTACTGCAATAAATTTATAGATGCACTTATAGCCTTTAACGTTAACGTATCTCAATTGTTTCTCGAATACATGAAACTGAACTTTTCAAATCTCGTACGTGATACTGTCTACGTACGGTCTATGAAATTGTTAATCGGTAAATCGATGAATAACAACAGTTACACTTAACGCTAGGATACGATAAAGAGGCAAGAGAAGGGATATAACTCAGTTGTTCGATTGACGATACAATTCATAAAATGTTAAGGAATGGTTTAGCGCAGAAGAGAATTCGTTGATACATAGAAAAAGAAAGAAACGTTTCATTATTCGATAAAAAGATACTCGAGAAGAAGAAGGGTATCGTCTAGAAATTGCAAAGGAACTAAACGATGCTTCGACGATAAGAACAGAAAACAAGATTGATCGAAGACAAACAATTTCTTGGCTAGCAAAATAAGTACGTAAGATCAAGAAGAAATAATGATATCAAGCAGCAATAGAAATTACTAATCGTTCCTTTAAAAGAAAAATAGAAAATAAAAAAATATGCATGTGATTGATAGAAGATGACACGTTAAAAATTTTGCTAAAAATTCGAGATCAACGTATATAAGTAACAAATTGCCTTTGTTCTTTTTTTTTTATTTTGTTGCCCTTGTCCATTTTCCATTGATCAATAACCAAATGCTATGCCGCCGAAAAACGGAAGCAATTAGCTACTATATGATACTAAACTGTTGCAATCGAGGTTGGTTTATAAAAGGCTTGGCGTTTTTACCAAATACATACGAATAGTAATATTGAATGAAAAGAAAGTAAATAGACTTACCAACAACGTGCCTACAAGGTTTTGAAATTGACGCTATCCTTCACCGGACCTACGCAAGTTTCATTTTGCCCTCCGTCTGTGTCAATGTACAAAACAATTTGATAGATTTTTCCTTATCGATCGTTTTGTTGATCGTTTGCTGGTACATTTTTTCTGTTTTTACTTACGACTAGCCGCATTATGCATTATAATAGCAGAATGCATGAATACAGATGTGGATGAACCCTAACTCGTAAAAGTTGATTTTTTTAGCATTACTTTAAGTTAAACATCCGGTTAAACTTGTCACCAGGCTGTAAAATTTTTAATCAGTTGTTTCTTACTCACCTTGCACCTTAGTTTCCAAATAAAAAATTCTAGGACATATCGTTCAGAAGCAGCGAGAATCTCGTCATTTAGAAAAACGTGTTTTCTGTTTCAGATTCGTAAGGGTCAGAAAATTTAGAGAAAATGTTATCGACTAACAGATCTCGGAATGTTTTGAAGTTTTGATCTTTTGTTCTTTTCTTTTGAATTCCTCGTATTATTATCAATATAAATTTTACGTTGCTTCGTGGAAAGACATATCAACATAGAACTTCTTCTATTAATAGCCCTTCACCTAACTCTTTGTATTCTACTTACACCATACATTCTCGATCGAATCAGCCGAGGAAAAAAAGAAATTTAGCAAAAGACATCCAAACTTAATTAAAAGGAACACCAGCCTCATAAAACGCGATTTACTAAAATTAAAGCAATTTATCGTTGGATATATATGAGAAATTTCTTCTTTTCTTGGTTCTGTCGATACTGGCGATAAATATTCGGTACAAGGCATTCGTTTTGTATTTTCTTCTTTGTTTTATACAATAATTATAATATCGCGTAAGATTTGAAGCAAATGAAAATAGTTAAAGCAATCTATGGAAAGGTAGTCTATACATAGTAGTATAGTATAGTAAAAGTTATTCATAAAACATGAGACTTGGACTGAAGTAAAAGGGACTGTAAAGTAAACTGAAGTAAAAAGGGAAAGAGAGAGACATGACATTTTAGGAAAGTAAGAAAATAATAACGAAGGCTATGTTATACCAAAATACTATCGTACGATTCGTGAAACCATTGGGCAACACGAACGATGCGTATTAGACATGATTTAAGGAAAATACCCTCAACGTTGAACCGTTATAAGAGGAACGCGGGTAATATTACAATTACTGTAAATATACTTGTAGTATACCACCATAGCGCGTTACAGCGTATTATTAGCAAAATAGGTAAGTGTCGGCGATACTAAAACGTAGCTAATAGTCACCGAAAAACTCCTGTCGTCGGTAGCGAGCACATCTTTCCCAAGACCGGGCGTCCTCGTCTCTTGTAGCAGATTTTCCATGAAGGACGCAAGGTCCTTGCACCTCTTTGACACATCAAGCTCGGTTATATCTGACTTTCTTTGGATGTTCTGCGCAGACGTACGATAGAACAAAAGAGAAAAAATTGGGGAATGAGCGAACTTATTAGTTGGGATTAAAATTTCATGGGAACAATTATGCGGCTGTGAACGTTTTACTGTTTGTCTGTGTGTCTCGTTATCCTTCTTAAAATGCATTTATTTATTCGATGTCGCATTGCTCTTCAGAAAGAAAAAGAGGGACACAGAGAAAAAGGGAATTAATTCTCTAATAGTCTCCTGTTCTTTGCTTTCTAATATTACAACTTTGCTTAATAATTTGGACAAGTACTTAAGCTCCTAATCGAAAGCAAAGGATAAATAATATTGTCATGTAAAGTGTAGACAATGCGAATTTTTATTTATAATAATCTTTATATCGCTATGAAAGAACGTGTATAATTTATATGTGGTTTGTTTTGTTGGCGTATAAATAAAAACTTGATCGACCATAAGGGTGATTGCTACGTTTACCTTATCGAACAATATCACGATCTAGACAAATTGCGCTAACTATATCACTGGTGCAGCATGAATCATTGAGAGAAGACATACCTCGTCAAGAAGTGTACGTATCTCTCCTTGTATGATCTTGGCCTCTTTTAGCACCTCCTCGCTAATATTAGCCAATTGACCGTACTCGGTTGCGCATGGCAAGCGAAAGATATCAGGATTTGCTGGACCTTTCAGTACCCTGTGTTGACCTACGACAAACTCTAGTTTTTTCGTCCAGGGATTGATAAAGGACGACCACTCTGTTTCGAGGACGACGTAGCCTCCGTTCTGCACTCCGAACCTGTAGGGTTTCGATCTGAAGGAGGCACCTTCGAGCTTGATCACCTGTTCAACGACATGTGTATAAATATGAATAATCGAAGGAATAGGGATTGTTATACGTCGTTCGACGTTCGGTTGTCGGGACTCGCTTACGCTTGCACTTTTTCTGCGGATTACATTTCTTTTTCTTTTACACTATTATTCTGTTTTTGTCTCAAGCGTATACTCGATCGAAACCTAAAAATTTGCTTTTTTTCTGGTGCACATGCTCACAGTCTCATAGATGTCTTTGATGAAGGGCAGATCCTCGGGATGGTAGAAGTCGAATAGCGAACGGCCAACCATATCCTGAGGTAGATAGCCAAAGTATTGGACTACGTCGGGATCGACATGAGATAGGTAGCAGGTCGCAGTATGGCGGGTCGTGAATACCGAAGATATTATCGTTTCTTCTGGCGCTGCGGATAATGATAACAAGAAGGTCAGAGTCATTCTCTCTTTTGTCAAGTGCTTCCTTCATGATGAAAGCTTTAATCTTTATGGTACGCAATCGAACCAACTTTGGCTCATTGACAAATCTGTACGAACACTTGTGCACTCTACCTATGTAAGCGTGAAATAATACTACAACATTGTGCGAAGCGATGTACCAACTATTTCGATATTGTGTTTATGAATTTCGAACAGACTTGTCAGAAGGATCTAAAAGAAGTTTCGAAATGACATTCTAAGTCTCGAGTCAATTGTACTTAAGGCAAAATCTGCATCTAACAAAGGTGTTGATATTGATACAAGAAAATGATAAAGAGGCAAATAAAATGGATTAATTCTCAAAATAATTTCCATCTATCGTCGATAAGAAGTTAATACAAACAATTTCCAGAATAGGCTGATGAGGGCAAACATCTTTGATTTCCCTTCCCTTAATTTTGTTTCATTGCTAGTAAATTTTTATACCGAAAACGTACACGAATAGAAACAGAAAGAGGAATACGATATTATAGCAAATTAGATCGCAATTAAAATATTCTTCATCTCTTTCTTTCTTATTGTCTTTTCTCTCTTCTTTTTTAGATTAAAATACAGTGAATAAAGAAACATCACTACGTGTTTATCAAACAAAAAATGAATTTTTATCTATTCTATGGAAAATGATCGATGCGTTGTTATTCTTGTTCTTTGTTTCCGCTTCTTAAATGAATACTCGAAACAGTGGTCTCCAAACTGAACGAAAACGAAAAATTGGCCAGATGATAAAAAAACGAATAAATAAAAAGACGACAAAGATGAGAGACTATCAAAATCGTCGCGATCCTCGAATAAATATTTCTAATTTAAGAAAAATTACCTTCTGCTTAAGGCACGTCGCCGTGGAAACCACCGAGTCATATTTTATCATCGAGAAGATTAGACTGAAGAAACGACTCGACTATTATTTCTCATACATATTATTCACGAATCGATAAACGTTATACGTAGATTTAGAGATCATTGAAAATTCCTTATTCTTATTATTTTTATTTAGAACAAACTATGTATCGAATCTTTTTTGTCAGTCGACTCTCCTCGAAGACCTTCAATCGTACTACCTTTATATGCAGAATGAACAGGTTGGGCAGTAACCACCAGGAACATTGCTTTGTGTTGCTGTTCAGTTGCACGGTCTCGAAAATCCCTGAACGATAAGGTCAAGTGAAACGGAAGGTAGAAATTCGACCTCGCCGCCTTATGCTGATCGATGGACTGGTGAATGACCGATCTCGTAAACTTTCGTAACCCGCAGAATAAACTTGCCCTTCTACCGTTAATACCTATGAGTACAATAATAAAACAAATAAATAAAATAATAAACCAAGATATATAATAGATATTTATAGATATGTCTATAAAAGAATTTTATAACATATTTTAATGCGAGAAAAATTAGATAAAAGTTCAATGAGGATTATTAAGTCACGTTCTTCGTAGTCTAGTTTTATCTTTTATTCAAAATTATAATTTCTTTTATGAAAAAGTTTCATTAAGCAAATTTGATGTAATACCTTTCGGTCTATCTTCTTGAGGCGACACTATACTGCTTGAAATCTGATCGGCCAGTGTAGCCTTATCCTTGGGGTGTACATAGTCAATGAAAGATCGGCCAATCCATGCGTCCTTGGGGTATCCTAGAGCTGTGCATATCGAGGGAGTCGTATACAACACGAGGCCATCATGCATCGAAATCACCGCGCAAAATCCCTCCTATATAGGATATACAATATGAAACTGTTGACTTCTATTTATGTCAGATCGATGCTAGTAGATTTATCCATAAAATAATTGATTAACACGTAGATGACACCTGAATCTATGTCATCAAGATAGTCTTCACATAAAACACCTTTTTCGATATCCCTGTTTCTCTTTTTTTTTTAATCTAAATTACGTAGCTTGTAGAGTGAACTCGTCGCTACTTTTTCCTCGATTCTTGTTCACATTCTTTCCTATGATCTTTACCAACAGTTACATGCAAATTATGCGATGAAATTACCATAGGATATTTTACATGCAGTACCTTAATAGTACTTTCAATTGGTCACTTTCAAACGCTATATGCATAGAGAAAAGAGTTGTATTTCACCAAAGAATATAATTTTTATTCATTTAAAAAAATTCCAAATGATCGAAGATATAAATTAAATAAAAGCAAAAGAAATTCCATGACATAAAGAAATATATAGTTCCTTTCATAGAATATATAATATAGTAAGTATATTTAGAATTTGATTAGTGAACCTTCACCCAACAAACCAACCCCATTACTGGCGTTGAAAGAAAGCTACTTGTTAACGTAAGTATTAAGAAGAAAAAAGGAAATGTACTATTTCTAAAGAGATTTAATAGTTTCACTATAAAGCCACTAGAAAGTCGTTTTGCTAGCCGCAGTTGTAAATCTCCTTTCTCCATGCATAATATCACGGAAACCTCGCGACAATGGTGTACCACTATGTTACATCATCGTATACAAAAAGCCATACCAAATTGCAATAATTAAGGAAAAAAAAATGTTCTAATGTATCGATATAGGTAACAATCGGGTTAAGATTAATATATAGATATGTATATAATATTAGGTGGCAGGATGCTTTTGCGAGTATACCCGATCCTGCACCTCCCTAAGAAGAAGCCCCTCGATCGACCACGACCGAGCGAGTCTCGATTGACATAATTATTGTTTCTCTCTACGTGTCCTTCTACCACAGTTAACTAATTAGGAGAAATCTGTTTCCTCGTTGCTTTTTAATGAATACTAACATTGGCTTGAGAGGCGGAATCATCCAGAGGATTCGTACGAGAAGCAAGTCCTACTTCCACATCTGTGACGTTATCGCCGTTGTGCTCGCCGGGATCCGTTGCATCCACCAATTCTATGGCTACTTCTTCTTGTATACACCCAACAAAAATTCTCGTCGTTATATTCTGTTCTTCTTGGACATACCTGCCCATGTTTTCTAATAGAACATGGATTCTTTATACCCATTTAACATCTGTCAAGTTTTCAACAACGTTTCATGGACGTCCCTTTTATCGTTTTAACAATGGATAAACACGGAGATGTTTCTCGTTGCGTGATGGCTTTAATTTTGGACGGCTATTTTCAATTTAGGATTCTAGGAGATGCTTTAAACGTGTGGGCGAAGGAAGGCAGTAACCAAGTAACGTAGCTGCTGTACGGATCTCCTTGGATACCCCTGACAACGTGATATAGGGAAAGAGAATGTCTTTGATGATGAAAGAAACTAATTGAAATTAAATCGAAAATATTTGGAGGCGTCCAAGAAACGTGTAAGACATGACCTATTGCATGGGTAATGAATTAATGAAGGATAGGAGATAGCAATGTTTCCTTAGTCCAACAGGACAAAAATTCCGCGACAACGTTTCGTAATACGAGAAGAAGTAACGAATCAACAGCTCGACATCGTTCTTGAAAGAAAGAAATAAAAAGGAATTCAACTTCGAGCTCTATAACACACCAAGCTGATACCAAGGCAATTTTTACCTCTCGACTCTCGTTTTTTACGTCGTTTATCGAGCGACTGTTAATGAAATCTAATTTTTTAAATCATCCATAGTGTCGTTAAATTCATTCGCGACGTTATTGCAAATCGGTCGCTTCGTGTTTGGACGTCAACATGCCCCACGTTGTTCAATTTTTAAACGACACATTTATCAAAGATTGTACAATACATTGTACTTAGCTATCCCTCGTGCAACGAACTAACAAACGAGCATCGTGATTACGAAACGGATCTATTCTCGCGTTGAAACATGTTGCAGGACACGTCGCAGGCTCGTAACCAGTAAATCAGGTCCAAGCTCGTAACGACCGATGAAAAAAGCCTACGTAAGAATTGGTTATTCGAGAAGTGGATTATTAAAAATTATGTAAATAATTACGTAAATCATAGACGTTTCTCGATGTTATATAAAGCTCGGTTCAGTTGTGAGTGCTACTGTGGCTGGACCAAACGGAGAGCTCGACAGCACCTGCCTTTTGTTCACGGATAGTACCGAGTGATTATATAAAACCAGTATAAGGAGAAATTATATATAAATACATATATAATCTCAATGCTTAAAATATTTTAGGACTACTATTCTATCCGACAGCTGTCCTCCGCCGAAGGGGCACGCATGTATACCAAGTGATGCTTATATCACTGTAGTTAGGCTATTCAAGGAACTATTTACAGCCTTGTAATTAGAAATACGTTATATATCGTTTATACGTTGTTATCGTTTATCATTTCAATTCATAACGCGAAAGATAGTAACGTTGTTACTATTTATGTCTCTTACATTTACTAAAGGATTCGTTGTACAAGTAGCGATACTGGCGCGGGAAGGTTGCTATGACGAAAAAGGATCAATATTTTACCACGTAAGTGAGTTAGAAACGGGGTGTTCTTTTCAAGGTTTTGTTCACGCTGGGCAGAGCTGAGATTAATTGCCAGGGTAACAACAACAACCATTACTCTATTGTGTGACTATTTTATTTAAACACAAGCTACGTAAAACTCTCGTTTAAAAAGGTTCAGGACAATCGATGCTAACCGAGTGTCCCCGAATTCGAAGCAGACGAATCCTTCAGATCCATTGAATCTCTCTTTTGTCCAAACTGAAACGCGAACTTGTAGGAGCTGATCAAGTAAAAACGGGACGCTCAAGACCGTTTCAACTTTGAACAAAAGAAGATGCAATTGACCGTTTCAGATTCAATGTCTGACGGACTAAGGGAACCATGGAGATGGACGTAAAGAAGGAAGAATGGTCATTCGAAGTCTTTGGCTATGAAGTAAGCGAAACCTAATTGAAGGGAAAAGTGCACGAAACCAAATAACGTTGCGCAAAACTGTCGATCTTCTTTCTACTTCACCGAGAAAAATTGATTCGTGTTTCACGTATAGCTTTTAATTATAATTATCAACGATCTTACAGTTCTGCGTTAAATCGATTTCTATCAATGTTTAATCTTAACCGTGAAACTAGAAGGAGGAAATTGTATTCGATAGAGTCTGCAGTAGTACGAAAAAATAGTTAGACGGACGATAAGAATTTGATATTTGCTCCTCCTCCTGTGATACCGATCACATAAATCAATGATTACACGTCTCCAACGACTAAGCTACCTTATTAACGAAGAGATTCTAGAAATCGTACAGTTAACGTGCACTTGTTCCCGCAAATTTTGTATTACAACCAACCTGATTTTTTTTCAAGTATTGGCTTCGTTGGGACGGTGACGTTATATGACACAGCCTCTGGCGGTGTGCCGGCACTTTTCAGGATAATATCTGCCTCAGCGTTAACAGCCAAAATCGTCTTCGACTTCTTCTTCTTGTATTCTTTATCCTTTCTTTTGCTGATTGGCTGCGGTAGTGCTTCATTGCTATATTCACATGGACGTTACATGTACAGATGGAAGAAAGTATCTAATCTTAATCTAGCGAACAGATCCAAAAATTAGTAAAGACGGAACGTAATTTTAGGAAATGGTCAAACGGGGCATTTTGTAAAAACTTCGTGTTATCGAAGAATATAATGTATTTTCTACGACATTACCTAACCATGTTTAAGGGTGTGATAACAAGGGAAAGAGTGACTTACTTTCGTTAACTTACGAATAAAGCAATCGCGATCGATAAAATGAAGCGAGTAAATCGACCTGTAATACAATATACGCATATATCGCGTAAAAAAAAGTAAGAATCAAACAACGATTCGCGACTCGTAGTTAAAGTAAATTTCATATTTCCAGCAGAGTTTTCATATGGTGACATAGTAAAATTCATTGATCTTATCGTGATGTTTATTCGACTATTTTTATTGCGCAATCTTATCGAAATATCCTTAAGCAATCTGAAATAGAACATTCTCATGTGTTTTGTGATGATAACGCGATATTGGTAACGTTGATATACGGCATATGTTTTCAATACGACGCTAATTATAGATATGCGTTCTAAAAATAAGTTTATTTCCCGCTGAGTCAACAAATAAGGAATCCACTGGGCACGCGTGCGAACATGAGCTCCAGGTTCATTTATTACTTTAACAGTTGCTTCATCAAAGAGAATGTTGTTATTCTAAACGACCGTGATAAGCATAACTAGATTTATAGTATTGTTACGTGTTGTGGGAGTGGAATGATACAAAAATAGACTAGATTGCCGAGAAACTTTCTCCAGGAAAACCATTTGCAACAAAAATACAATACGTAACAAATGCTTTAGGTCATCAAATAGTGATTGCATTCGTTACGTAACAAAGAGAAAGTGCATTTCTTTAACGATAAACCTTTCAAGCTTTCTCCGAGATTAGGTTGGCCATTTAGTGTTTATATTTCCTAGTTCGATATTAAAGCTTGAGAAGGCCAATATATTCGAATAGCTTTGATTAAAACAATAGAAAGAATACGTACTTTGAATTTATATTACAATGATCATAGAAATAAAATTAAGATAATTGCATGCTAATACCTTGTGAACTAAAAAATATAAAAACATTCTTTATTATTCATCTTAATATTCTTCTTTAATGACCGAAAGTGATATTATCTGTTTCCTTTAATCAGGATTAGTCACAAATCGATACAAAGCAGGAAATTTATTAATATAATTTGAAATACATTATGCAATAGGATATCCTTTAATTGTACTCTCCCTCTCTCTCTCTCTCTTTCTCTCTCAAGAGACCTCTCTCGCCTCTCATAATACGTATTTCCAGCATGAAAGAGCAATTACAAAAACATCGTTACAAATATAAATTAATTTCCAGTAACATCTGTTCCTTTGTGATCAAATATAGTTATTCGCAAGGGTTGATTTAAATTACCAAATATATGTCCATTCTACTCGCAGCAACAGAAAAGCATTCGCGGTAATTAACCTTGACCCTTACGAGTTATGTAGAGAATTATATGAGGTATATTCTGTGAATTGTACGCGGCAAGCGACGACGCATTCTCGTACTATTGGTTCGAGGAGTGCTTGTTGCACCGTCAGAGACCAATAGATATGAAACGATGCGAGGCATGTCACTCTGCTCTTCAAATATTTCGAATCAAGCAAACAGTAATACTTTTCACGTCGGATAACACGGCGTAATCAGCTTGCTTAAATTGCTCAATCGCTGTTTTCCTTACGGAGTTTTCGCGTCAAGAAATGAAAAAAGAGAGAAAAAGAAAGAAACGAATTCTATACGAGACGAAGAAAACCACCGAACGTTGTCGTCGATCGGTGAGGTTTAAATGAAACAGGAACGACGTTACAGTTTGATATGTAAATTCAAAGCATCATTGTCTTTTTATTTTCTCTACCTCTTATTATATCTGACGAATAATCAGAAATAGACTTGTTTTAACTGTAATTTATAGACCCGGTGATGATTTATTATTGCAATGGCGCGGCCTATCCAGATTATGCAATAATACGTGGGGATACTTCATGCCACGTAGGCGACGCCAATGGCGACGTCGTAGGCACGTGGCAGGGCACATGCACCAGTGTTTACAGCTGCAAATAACAAGGTTTGTGTGCGCTTTCTCGTAACTGAATGTAATCATTCTCTTACACGTACATGAATACGATAGTAAAAATCCACATTGCTGGGCGCGTATGCGCGCTGTGTCACCTTCACAATCGCGATAATTATAGAACAACCGTGTTCAGCTGTATGAACATACCAGGAGTACAAATCTGTCAATAATTTTTTCTCATGTTCCATTATATGACTTTAATTATAGGAAAAGGGGAAGAATAAAATTTAAAACAAAAATTGACTAGATGACTCGTCACAATAGCGCCAAGTGACATAGACACAGACATCGAAATTTAAACGTTTCTTCGATTGTAATTATACAGAAGAAAATGATGGAAAAAGTTGTGTTGGCTTCTCTAATTTCACTATTGCTTTTGATTTGCAGGATGAATAATTCGCAAATGTTAATGACGTTCGTTCTAAGGTGTTCATGTACTCAAGCGAATAATCTAATTGGCAAACTCACGTTAGCATGCAACGTCTATTCAGTCTTGTTGATTACGGCGGTCATATACACGCCACAACCACTAATTTTAACTTAGACAGCTATTTTCCTTCTTTAATTATAAATAGACATTTTTCGTTAATTTAATAATACGTGTATGTACTTTTCGTTTTTCCAATATCAGATACTTTTTCCATAAACGCCTGGGACACGTTATACTAAATATCTTCTTTAACTACAGTGAAGTGCTTCCACGTGTTGTAAGTTCATGTATTTTTCATTCGACGTACAATTATTGGAGATAACTACACAAAGTAGTACCGTAATTGCATGACTACAATTAGCAGTGTCTTGCGTATATTTCATTTGTAAGTACCAAAAAAAAAAAAAAAAAAAAAAAATGGTAGACATTTGCTTCAAATTGTTTTTTATTGAAAGTTTACACAGCACTGAGGAACAAGAATTACCTTCCACTGGATACTTTACTCTTATTCTTTACTAGCTGAAGTTGTAATGATTTATCAATTGCTTATAAATACGACATATTGATATTTCACGCATAATCGCAAGATCCTTACGATCATAAATACTTTCACTTGCCATCAGTGGCCAATAGGTATCTCTGTGTTTTTTGAGGATAGTGTTTTGGGGAAAAAATTTTTGTAAGAGTCAACTGAGTCATCGCGATAGCTTCTATCTTTGAACTACCGATAATACTAAAGAAACTTAAACAATATATTACCTGGATCCAAATGTCGAGGGGCGCCTACCGCAATAACCGCTACTTTCGGAGCGGTTACTGTTTCTCGAGATTGAGCTGCCACTACTGCAACAGAAATGAGTAAACGTTATTAAACATTATTTAGTGAATCCCTGTGTTACTAGTATAAAACAAAAATGATATTTTTAGATGAGTTTATCGTAATATGGCTTACGTACGTAATGTAGTCACGTTAACGTCTGACGATTAATCGACCAAACTACTGTATATGCTTATTCACCGCGCTAGGTCTGACCTTGACTATCCGTTACTACTGAACGCGCTCGCGTATTGAAATAATCTTTAAATCGATAGCTTACCAAGCTTTCCGTGCGATTATCAAACTTGAAAAACGTCAAATATATTAGCGTCTTAATGTTTTGCAATATTGTAAGTTTAACGAATAACATATTCAACAGATTATTATTTCAATGTTTCATGGCATTTAAAATTGAAAAAGAAAATGATCGTAAGTACCGAAGCTTTATGAATTTATGTTGTTCGATTACGAAACTTACGCTTTTCATCGAACTCTTGTAAGATTCATTTGTTATAATTTGCTCCTCCGTAACTAGATCCACGTGTAACGCTGGAACCTAGAATACGCGCCTTCCGATAAGAGTTGCACCGTCCTTAGAAACAGTATCCTCGACAAATTAACTCATCTACCATGAGAACAGACTGAAAAACTTACTGAATAAACGAAAAATCGTGCGTAAGCTTGATCTGGTTCGTATCGAGAAAAAAGAATTACTATCCTCCTGAAAGTGAATTACTTCACTGGCAAATTGGTACAGAGGTGGATAGAAGCTGATTGCAGCAGAGGTTCATTTCTCGAACGATAGAAACGGCCTCGGCCCATTGGCCAATTAAACCGGTGTCAAGAAAGTCACGCGATTCGCTGGCACAAAATCTCTGAAACCAGTTATGGAATGGAAAAAAAAGGACCGATCACATGTTCGGCAAACGTGACCACCACTATCGGCCCTTACGTCGGAGTCTTTCTGGCCTTTCACTGTCCTCATTATTTCCCAGGGAACGAGCACGGGGCTCCTACATTTGTTGCACCTCGTTCGGTAGGAAAAATTATTGCATAAGGTCTGTTTCACGCTCGTGGCCCCGTGACTAGAACTGTCGAACGGGACCGTGATCCGGCTATCGATTTTATTCGAAGTTCTGACACGAATAATCCCAAGGAAACGTTGTATTAACGAGATATAAAATCCGACAAAACATAGAATTCGCGATTATAATTAATCTCTAACTACAGACGTCTACATTTTATCCGTTACGTATCATTTCTAAGATTATTTGACAAATTCTATTTCTGTTAAATTTTTGTGTTGTAAAAATTAATGACTATTTTAAATACTGGAATTTTTAGACTTCAACGCAAAATTACGGTAATAGAATAAAAATTCAGACTCTTCTCAGGGATTCGTCGCGCTATTCTGGCGACGTATTTTTAGAATGTTTTTAAATCTAATGAAAAGCCCTATTAATTTTTCTAGTGATATAATACTTTCATATTGACGTAGGGAATGGTGCTATTATGCAATTAAAACAACAAACTGGTAAATACGTTGAATCAGCATATGGTGCAACATTCGCTTCGCCAGAGGAACATCACGTTTCACTCTTCATCAGGTACCTGCAGCGTGTACAATTTTACTTGATAAGCAACACGTGAGAATTCAGAATCTATAATTATGCGCTGGTATCAATCACTTGAGTAGCATCAATAGCCGAGTCGCCCACGATGTCGTTCTTTGTTATTATAGGGGATCGCCATTAACTGTTACATCGACGATGGTTAATTAAAAAAACAAAGCTTGAAATACAACGTGCATATTGAACCAAGCAAGGTTCCCATAAAACAAATTTTTTTAAAACATCAAATATACAACTTTCGTATGCAATTATCGTTTATATTAAAGACAAGGTTTGTAAGGTTTGTAATTTACTTTGAGGTTTCTTATCAAATTATAATCTGATTGCTCTTGCCATTTTAAATCAATAAAATTTTTATGACGCAATAAAATCATAACAATTGCTTTGATTAAATATAAAAAAATTCGATCATCAAACATCAGTAAAAAGCCTCTTGGTTTATAATTTCTTCGATATTGCATCTTATTTCGTAAGGTTCTCGAGATTGGAAAGTATTTCAAGTATTTCATTGGAAAGTATTTCACGATGGACCATCGTGGAAAGTATTCCAGTCAGACGTTAACTTTCGTTAACGTAGCAATCAGCGATCTTGCGTACGTTTTGCATTCGCTCGACCTGTTTTCATCGGGTTTCTCAACCCGAGCTTAGATGTTTAAATGCGAACGTGGAAATGCAAGCGGCATGTTTCGCCGAGAAACTAGTTAGCCTTAACCGTCGTGTTCGAGTTTCTATCCTTCTTGTTCGCCATGCTTTTCGTCTGCCTCTCACCTACATCATCGACAAAGCGTGTCAATGCCAAGAATCCTGTGCTAACGTACACTACATAGAGACTGGATATCCTAGCGATCCTAATAGTGAATATCCTACAGCTAAGTTTACAACGATGAGCAATTGTTCGCAAACTCGTGTCTGTCAGTGTAGATTTAGCCTAAGATATCTCATAAATTTTCAATTTGTTTAATTTGTGAATTATCACAATGATTTTGTCAGAGATCAACCACTTATGTATGTCTGCAAGATACCCACGTGAAATTCATCCGCAAGTAAAAGTCTTTTCTCGAATACTAAGGATATTAAGGAAACAAAATCTATCAACGAGCTGAGAAGTTCAATTGAGTCTGATGAAACAATCATCCAGCGATTAAGAGATCAGGGGTCAAACTTTACGGGTCCAATAATCTGATCAATCAATTCTATTCCTTGTCATCACTGATGGATCCAGAGCGGCGATCGCCCCTCAAGAATAAAAGAATATAAAAATATTATACCACATTCTGAAAAACTTGTTACATATATAATTAATATTAATTTATTAATTTAATTATTTAGGCTATATACAGTATCGAATAGAGATATTGAAATGTAAGTTACAAGTAAATTTTTAATCTTGGAAAAGAAAATTTAAAAATGTACTTGCATACTTTTACACAGTCCGCTGCCCTCACCGAAGAAAGGCTCCATCACTGCTTGTCATGAACAAAATTTGCACTTGTAATTTTTATTTCGATACAAGTTTCAGAAGAACGATCGTGTCTACTCAGATGATCAAGATGCGTAGGCAGTGGTAATTCTTAGTAGTAAGTACAAAACTTTGATATATACAATTTATCAAGACGAATTGAAGAAACCAATTGATCAGTCAATCGATTAATTCGTTTTCTTTAGTATATATACAATATACTTCATAAGTACACAATCTAAGTCTTATGGTTCGATATTAAACATCAATCACATGGGACATAAGAAAATTAAGTTGTAGGGATTTCATCGCCTTCACAAATGCAAATCGTTATGAAACTCTCTTACATCTTTTGTAAGGTCTCCGAACGCGATAAAAAATCGCAGAAATCTGACATATCGAAACCTGCATTTTCCAATCGATCCAATGATTTATAGTTCATCTCCGGCTTGGATTTTCCAAACGTTTAATCAAACATTTACTTTTACTATCTTTGTACATTCATTTATAAAATAACGCGCAGTCATATGTACATATATTGCACAAATTGAGATTACACAAGAATTCGACTGATCGATTACAGGAATGTAACAGAAATCGGCAAATGGAAAATAAAAAAAAAGACGAGAGAAAGCAAAAAAGGGGATTATGCTTCATCAAGAGAATACGTGAGATATTTCTGTATTAGTTAAATCTGTATTAAAATAGCAGGTCAATTAAATTGGTTGCAATTAAACAGCATTCATTAATTAAGATCTGATAAACGTTTATTAAACGTCTGCATGTAGATTGCACAAGATGAACATAATAGAATAATGATGTATTAATTATGCTCGATAAAAATTTATATAGCTTTTTGCCTTCATCGCTTGCGTTCTATTAACGTTGATGTTATTTATGCATATTAGTTATTTACATTAATTCCTATCTGTTCTTTTTCCTAAAGAATAAATACGCTTTGTATACGATTTATTACATAAATATTAACAAAATCATTTACAATTATTTAATGTACCGATATCAGAATGTATTTTAAACGATACGATAAAATGGAAGTTTTATAATATGTTTTTTAATACCGAATAAACTAATAATTTTCAAGATTATTCTTCTATCTTATGATTAGACCCTTTTAGTTACCAAAACTACTGTACCGTTTATTATTTCAAATAAAAATTAGCCAAGTAATATAAGAATACATTAATACATTTAATATACATATTAATATACATTTCTGGTATTGGTATCATGTCAAAAAAGTGGGAAATCTTACAGTTCGCACTTTACGTTAATATCTATGATTATTAAAATTTGGTATTGTAAGAATATGAATTGTAAAAATGTAATTTTACCTGAAATATCCACCGACTCGTCTTTTTCTTATAGACGTATCATTGGAATAACGTATAATGAGTTGATCGACTAATATAACGCATAGTTCATATTTGAAATTCATGGCGCTATATTCAAATCAATGCTTGCGAAATGAAACAAATTCAGCGCACTTCGAAAGGTATATACAAACAATTAAAAAATTCGATACATACCTACGTTGCGACTGACTGTTGCTACAAGTATTGGAATATCCGGAATCCGACACCTTAGCATTTTCAGTGGATACTTCTTCCATCGTTCTCTTCTAAGGGTAGCGTTTCTTTTAGACGATATCCGTTAGGTCACAACACTGCTGCTAAATTAAATGAACTCGATGTTCACGCGTCATTTCTATATTTCGTGGCAGTAAAAGTGTTAAGAACTGATAAAGAAATAAGCGAAGGCAAATTGCTCGTATTTGTACGAACAAAAGGGAATAAGTTTTTTCTGTTTAATGTATCGCATTCACCATTAATAATTAAATTAAGAATAACGCACCATTTGATTGGTTATAAAAAAATCAGTAAATAGAGAAATAAGCTTTCACTAATTTTCAGTTGGTTTCACAATAATATAATAAACACCACGATGCGTTCTAGACGACGATGTCTATGAAGACTGAACTGAACCATACATTACATATCTACCGCGCGGAGCGACTGTTCCGCATCATGCTGCACGTTCGGTAACACGTGAGTTGTTATCCCTCCCAGCCTACTGTTAACCTATATCGATGCAAAACGTGCCCCACTTAAACCTCTCGAACGACGAACGCGATTAAAATATGTAATCTGCTACCCCGCGACTTTTACGCTTGATTCCAGCGCAGTTTAATGGCGCGAAAATCATTCCTTATGTACTATTGCGACACCTGCTGACAACTTTATTCCATAATATCTTCCGATTTAAATTTAAGGCGATAGATCATATTCGAGAATCGATTAAAAATAACATAACGTACTCCTTTTTTATAAAAGTTATTTTATTGCACATTTTATGAGCATATTAAAGAAATATGCTAAAAATAAATTATAAACATGGTATACCTTAAAAGTGCAGTATAAAAGCGAAATGCGTAAACAAGTACAAATACAATAATCTTCTGATCGGCATAATGATCTCCGTCCAGTAATAAAAAGGAGGAACTATATAAAATTATAATTTATTCTTTATATTTTACGTTTTGTATATACAATAATAGTAGTATCTTACTCTGCTATATCACAGTCATCAGGTACACATCTTTGAATCCTTGAGATATCCTGAAAGTTAACAGAAAAAACACGTCAAGTTAATAAATTATAAACATAGTGTGAAATAGGATATTCTGTTCAGTGTGAAAAAAAAAAATAAGTGGAAGTCAGTGTGAGGTTTTGAATACTTAATGTGTATTTTAATATCACCAAATAAACAAGTCAGTTACAGTCTCCTAAAACATCATTGCGTATGGTCATTGAGTAGAACAGTCTAACACATGTACAAAAGTGTCCATCATAAAACGTTCATGTTGTGCGTCAATTATTGGTATTTGACAAATGTGATTATGGACATAATATTAATTTCCTAAGAAAACGTATTTTTTTCCAGGAAATTTGGTCTAATTATAGAAAACAACATGTCAATATATTTTATATACATGAATATATGTGATACTGAAACGATTCCAAAACAAGATTTACTCATAATACTTGAATGGAAAATTTCTTCTCGTCTCTTCTTTGTCTGCAATTCTGTAATTACAGAAATTAATTTTGTTTTTACAAAAATACGTAACATAATTAAATTTGATTAATAATACATACTTTTAAGATGAATTACGTACATCTGGTGTAATTAAAATTAAGATTATTATTGTAAGCAACAATAAAACATAATATACATTTAGTCAAATATAGTTTTAATCTACACAAAAATATTTTTCAAATACGCTTCGTTATATTTATATTCATAAAAATATAATTTTGATTTATATCACGTAGAGTTGTAATCCATAAAACCATATTTGAAAAGTATTTAAAAATAAAAGTATTATTCTGCAGAATATATCTTGTTTTGGAATTTAAATTCTACGAAATATATTATTATTCGCAATTACGAAAATATTTCTTGAAACAGACACAAGAAATAAATTGCTTTACGTTTTCTTCCATACGTGCTATATCTAATAAAAGAATAGTACAGAACTATTGGATATAAATTATAAAGAAAACCTTGTTTTACTAATCCTAAAGCAGGTTATATTATAAAGCCTGTGCGAATAGATAAAATTAATATTATAATCAATAATTACATATTTCTTGTTTTACAATTAAGAATATAAAATATTAAAAGATAATTTCATTTCATATTCTCTATTTTAAAATTATTCAATTTCCTTAATCATTAATGTATAAATTCATTCTTTTCTTTTTATAAATTTGTTTGAATAAATTTTCATTTCAGTATAATTTTAATATAAAAGTATATATGCATTGATAAATACTCTTATCTGATTAATATGTATAGTATATTACCATGCAACAATAAACACCTCGAGTATACTCGATATCATATACCTTCCTTGCATTAAAAATACAAGTTCCAAATTTAACTAATTTCTTGTGTTCTATATGTTCTTAAATAGAATATTTAAGATCACTTTTCGCACAGGCCTTTTAAAATAATAAAATTAGGAAGTCAGGTGTACGTGTAACGACATGTAAGGATGAAGTAAAGTATCGTTAAAGTTTCAGTAACGTTGAATTCGCGAACGTAAGCGGTAGTTAAAAGTAGGTAGTTGGAGTTTCCTTGGATGCGGGCCCGACGTGGTCAAGTGAGTCTTAAAATTCGTCTCTTTTATTGCGTGCGTCCAGCTTGTGTATACCAGTCAGTCTGTGAAGACAAATAGAAAAATTACATTTTCTCCTGTTTTTCGAGTAAAGTAATCGTCAGTTACAACGTCAGGGTGTTAATATTTAATTGCCTCTCTCTTTCCCTCCTTTCTTTTTGCCATGTACTCAGCGATTTACTTACGAGGTATACAAAAAAAATTTAATTTTCGTCTTCGTCCGTTCGTAGTCGTTTCCTACGATCTTCACCGACATTACGCTCTTCTGCTTCTAATACTTTTAATCGAGATCCACAAATTTCTTGTCCATGTAAAACCTACGGTTATTATTTTATAGATTGATTATTACTGTTTAACTGTCTTATTTGTTTAGAAAAAGTCATTATGATGAAATAAAGCATGATAAAATATACCTCGATTGCTTCATTTGCACTTTGCACACTGGCATACTTTGCATAACCACAATTTTTCCCTGGAAGCATGTAAACATCTATAAGGTTCCCAAATCTACAGAAAGCATCTTTCATGGCATATATTGGAGGTACTGGAGGTCCGCATACAATGAAGCACCTTTTAGCAACCTCTGCATCTATACTAGCCATTGGTTGCACAGGTGGTAACTTCACACACATCGAATGCTCTAAACCTAATTATGTAAAAATACAATTAAACACAAAAATCATACATTATCACATTATGTAGATAAAATAATCTCTCACTTGGTGCAGTTAATCCCGCAGCTTGAATTAAAGATGTAGCTTGAGCAATAGTTTCAGCTAAATGTGCCAAATCTGTCCTAGCACTAGCAATTCCAGCAGCAGAACTACCAGGTTTTATTGCATTTTTTGGTGGAGCACTTGATAAATCTGGCTTAACTATCATCCTATGACCGGGAGGATATTCAAAACCATGAAATTTTTCTCTTGCATATGCTGCTGCACTAGGATTAGAATATACTACAACAGCCTGGCCTCTTGGCATTCTATATCGTACGTCATTTTTCAAATGACAATAATCCAATCCAGGTACAATGTCAAATAATTTCCATAATTGATCTTGGTTCAATGCTGGATGTGCAATCACTTGCAAATGTGTATAACCTTCAGAATTAGGATAATTTGTGGCAATTTCTAAACTAATACTACTCTTTCCAAAATTTGATGAACTATAACCTCCACCAGCGCTATCATAATGAGAAGATAGTCCATTGTTATATTTCACATCAATATGTTCAGGTTTTGGTTTTTTTGGTTCTGCAAATACAGCCTTGTATTTCCTATCACATTCTTCAAATGCTTTCGCTGCACTAGATACTTTTTGAAATTTTACATAACCAAAGCCTTTTGATTCATTCGTATTTCTATCTTTAACTACTGTTGCATATTCTATAGATCCAAACTTTGAAAATTCTCGATGAAGCTCACCATCTGTCATAGACTTAGGTAATACACAAAAGAGACGAACCCATCTTTCTTCTTCGTTTGTTTCTCTGACAGATCCTTGATCACGACTGTAACAAATATCTAGATTTTCACATTTATCAACAAATAAATATATGAACAAAGAATAAAGTTTTTCAAGGATATTTTGGAATAACTATTATAATTCTTACTTTGAAGCAATCATTACTTTAATAGGTCTTCCAACAGAACCCAACATTTTTCCATTCATCTCTTCAAGAGCAAAAGCTGCCTCTGATGTTTTTGAAAATTTGATGTATGTGACTCCTAAACAAGGTAAACAAGACGCATTACTTTTCAAATGTTTGAAAAAAGCATATAAATAAACAATTTTCATAAATAAACAATGTGTATATAGATAAATTTAAAAATATGTAAAAGATGATTAAAAAGAAAATAAAGTCTTATTGATTTCTTGTGTAGACAAGAGAAATTACCTTTATTTTCCCCCGTCGTTCGATCTTTCACTACCCAAATATCTTCGATCTTCCCAAACTTTTCAAAAGCTTTTCTAAGATCATCTTCTTCAAGACTTTTGTGGCATATAACAAATAAACGTGAATTCGGTGGATCATCATTTTTTGATCTTAAATCCGTTTGCGAATAGTATGAATCCCTTTCCCTGTGGTCAGCCATTTTGCAAATGAATGATGCAGAATACGTCGCCCGTCTATGGTCAGTAAAGCCGATGTGCTTCAGGGACGGCACAAATAGGGTTCGACGAGATCAGTTTCTCACATGTATGTAAGTAACGTATGTACATAGGTATGTAGTATTAGAGTATTTTTCAGAGTTTCATAGATGAAACATACTACAAAGTATTAGTTTGCTCTTAATATTCTCTAAACTTCATTATTATGAAATTACAATAAAAACTTCCTTTACACTTCTATCTAAAAGAAAGATACGTACATATTACTTAAAATAAACCAAATATTATATTTATTAAAATACCAACGTTATCATACAATCGTATAAATTGAAATTGATGTTATTTGAGTACCAATGAAAATAAGGAAGACGTATATAATTATGCTAATTACATATAATGTATGCTAGTTTAAGCTATACGAGGTTTTATTTAACTTTGGTGAATCATGGCGCGAAATTATTTTTACTTGGATTTCCATTTTAGTCGATATGAGTATATTGTCAATCTAAATGTTATATTCTTATTAAGCTTTTTAATTTAAAATTAGGTGTTTAATAAATTTTTTTAATATACTAAAAAAGCTATTTAGAATCACATACATGTATTGTTATTTGAAAATGTGACATAGTCATGATTGTAACGACAAATAGGTTAGATAAATTACTTCCGCATTGATTTCACGAGAATGACGAGCGACTTCACAAGTCATGCTCTACTATTTTTTCATAATACA